AAAATATGCATGGTATGATCTCAGTTCTTTTATATTTATTGAGGGCTATTTTGTGACCCAATATGTGACCTACCTTGGAGAATGTTCCACGTACACTCAAGAAGAATTGGGTATTCTGCTTTAGGTTGAAAAGTTCTGAATATATCTGTCAAGTCTGTCTGGTCCAGTGTATTCTTCAAGCCTTTGTTTCTTTATTGATTTTCTCCCTAGATGATCTGTCCATTGCTATAAGTAGGGTATTAAAGTACCTGCAATTACTGTATTCTTAGCAATAAGATTGCTTATCTTTGTAATTACTTGATTTATATATTTGGGTACTCCAAGTTGGGGGTCTAAACATTTACAATTGTTAGCTCTTCTTGATGGATAGTGGCCATAATTATGATATAATGCCCTTCTTCATCTCTTGTTACAGCCTGTAGTTTAAAATCTAGTTTGTCTGATATAAGTATTGCTACTCTAGCTTTCTTTTGACTTCCAGTAGCATAATAGATGCTTCTCTACCCACTCACTTTCAATCTGAAGGTGTCCTCAGGTCTAAAATGAGTGTCTTGTAGACAGCATATAGATGGATCTTGCTTTTTCTTTTTTTTTAATCCATTCTGATACTGAATGTCTTTTGATTGGGCATTTAGTCCTTTTACATTCAATGATTATTGAAAGATATGGATTTAGTGTAATTGTGTTACCTGTAGGTTTCATGCTTATGGTGGTGTCTCTGGTCCTTTGTAGTTGTTGCAACATTCCACTCACGAAGTCTCCCTTAGGATCTCTTGCAGCTCTGGTTTAGTGGTCATGAACTCCTTTAGTTTCTGTTTGTCTGGGAAAACCTTTACCTCTCCTTCTATTCTGAATGACAGCCTTGCTGGTTAAAGGATTCTTGGCTGCATATTTTTTCTATTCAGCACATTGAATATTTCCTGCCACTCCCTTCTGGCTGGCCAAGTTTCAGTGGACAAGTCTGCTACTACCCTTGTGTATCCATGCTTGTAGATTAAGGCCCATTTTTCCTAGCTGCTTTCAGAATTCTCTCTTTATCTTTGTATTTTGCCAGTTTCACTATCATATGCCTTGGTGAAGACCTATTTTTGTTGAATATGAAGGGAATTCTCTGTGTCTCCTGGGTTTGAATGTTTGCTTCCTTCCCCAGATTAGGCAAGTTCTCAGCTATAATTTCTTGAAGTGAAACTTCTGCCCCCTTTTCTCTCTTTTCTTCTGGAACTTCTATGATATGGCTATTATTATGTTTCATTGAATCACTTAGTTCTCTAATTCTCCTCTCGTAGTCCAGTATTTTCTTATCTCTCGTTTTCATGGCTTCATCTTTTTCCATAATTTTATTTTCTATTTCACTTATTCTCCCCTCTGCTTCCTCCATCCTTGCTGTCACTGCATCTAGTTTATTTTGCACTTCATTTACAGCATTTCTTAATTCACTGTGATTTATTTATTAGTTCCTCGATCTCTGAAGCAAAAGCCTGCTGTCTTCTGTGCTCTTCTCAAACCCCAGCTATTATTCTAAATTCTTGATCAGATATATTGTTTATATCTGTTTTGAGCAATTCTCTAGCTGTCCTTTCTTCCTGGAATTCCTCTTGAGAAATATTCTCCATTATTCCTGGAGATTTCTTCCACTTCATCATTTTGGCTAGTTTTCTGTCCTTTATGTGTTTTAATAGCTTGTTTTGTGTCCTACACCTGTAACCACTTCTATATTAAAAAGAGGTCATACACTCTCCAGACCCTGGCCTTTTGGGAGGTGTTTTTGGAGTGTGCTGGATACTTCCTGTTGTGACTCTGGTAGCTTTATCCTCTACTTGCAGTGGTGGTTTGGACCTTCCAACACACGTGCTTTGATTTGTTCATCGAAGTAACTCTCAAAAAAAATAAAAAAAACATTAACATTTATTTACTTTTGAGAGACAGAGCATGAGTAGGGGAGGAGTAGACAGAGAGGGAGACACAGAATTTGAAGCAGGCTCCAGGTTCTGAGCTATCAGGATGGACCCCGACATGGGGCTTGAACATACAAACTGAGAGATCTTGACCTGAGCCAAAGTTGGGATGCTTAACTAACTGAGCCACCCAGGTGCTCCCTACCCTGGAAAAAATTAAAAAGGGGAGATGGTGGAAGAAGCCCTATCCCATACAAAGATAGAAATGACAGGATTAGGGAAAATGAAAAGAAGAAAAAAAATTGACCAGGCAGAGAATCAGAGAAACTATATGGCTTAATCCAGAGAGAGAGAGAGAGAGAGAGGAAAATAAAGAAGGAGATACAGAAAAGGTGTAAAAAGAATAGATTAAAAATGTCTGCTTGAACAAACCAGCAACCAGAATAGAGAAGGAAAGTAATAAGAGGAAGAAAAGAAGAAAAGAAAATAGTTAGAAATAACCAAGAATCAAATCAGAAAATGAAAAAAAGCTGGACTGACATCTGATGCTGCCTTGGAACCGATGGCTGCACTGATCTGGAGGAGGTACCCTCTGGTTTGGTCATTGTCAATCTTGCTCTGATAGATTTGCAGTTACCAGGCACAGAGGGGCAGGGTTTGATGTAAGTGGGTCCTGCCTCCACTGTGGGTCCAATGTCCTGCTCCCTGAAGCCCCACCTCATTGGTGACAAGGAGAAAAATAGTGACACCCCAGTCTCTCCTCCCCGAACCAGGTGTCCCAAACCCTTCTGTTCAGGCCATCCTCACAGTCCCACACAGGCATGAGCCAGCCTCTATGTCCTGGTCCACAGTCTCCGGCTCCTCCCTGGTGCTTGGCTGAAATTCAAACCGTGATGTCTTAAAGGAGCTGGCTCCACCCACCCTCCCTGGTTCTAGGGGTAGTGCCACTCTGCCCAGCTGACAAAGGGCCTCTGGCTGGTGGGTGCCTGCAGAGTCTTTTGTTCTTGGAAGCTATTATCTTCTTCCCACAGCACTCAAGGGAGGGAACTGCTGTCTCCAACTGACCCTCCGAGCTGACTACAGAGCCCAGGGCTGGCTCCCCCTCCCCTTCTGATGCATATAAAGGACAACAGGCCTCAGTCTGGAGAAAGACCCACAACCAGAGATCCAATTAAAAATTGGTTCTTTCTCCTTTTTTTTCCATTCCCTGGTCCACGGTTTTTCTCTTGTCCAAATACAATCCTACACTTCCACAGCCTCTCTTCCTTTTGCCTCTCCACAGAAGGGGATTCCTCCCCTCTGTGCCTACACCACTCATTTCATCTCTCAAAATTTGCAGTCATGTACCTGTGGCCTGCCAAGTTGTCCTTGTGGGTCCCTGGAGATGTTTCTGTCACTCTGTAGTCTGGATTCCTGGAATTCTGTCTTCTGGCCTCAGTGCTGCTGTGTTTGAGGGATGAGGGAACTTCAGTCCCCTACTTTTCTGCCGTGTTGACTCCTCTCCAGTTATCACTTATTTTAAATTGTTACATGATCTGAGGGCTATTTTTTTTTTATATTTTCTCTCATGTTCCATTTGTCTCCTTGATGCTTCTCTCAGTATTCTTGTGCACAATCATTTTGTGAATTTTATAACATGCTAATAGAATAATACATGGAATATTAGCCATTATAGTCTTCTATTTCAAAATTTATTATTTTTACTCATGTTTTCTCTAAACTTAAAAATATTTTGGGGCACCTGTGTGGCTCAGTCGCTGGAGCGTCTGACTTTGGCTCAGGTCATGATCTCACAGTTCGTGGGTTTGAGGCCCTCATCGGGCTCTGTGCTGACAGCCAGCTCAGAGTCTGGAGCCTGTTTCAGATTCTGTGTCTCCCTCTCTCTCTGACCCTCCCCTGCTCACGCTGTCTCTCTCTCTCTCAGAAATAATTAAAAAATATTAAAAAAAAATATTTTGCCCAATTCTAACAAAATGACATGGAATTTTTTTTTTGCAGCATTAAAACCAAAACTTTATTGGGGCACCTGGGTGACTCTGTCAGTTAAGTGTCTGACTTGATCTAGATTCAGGTCATGATCTCACAATTGATGAGACTGAGCCATGGGCTCTGCACTGACAGCGAGGAGCCTGCTTGGGATTCTCTTCCTCCCTCCCTCTCTGCCCCTTCCCTGCTCACTTGCCTGTGCTTGCAGCTTGCTTTCTCTCTTTCTCTTTCTCTGTCTCAAATAAATAAATAAACTTAAAAAACCTAAAAATTTATTTAAGGAGAAGAGATTATCAGAAATATTGAATTCATGTTTCCCAAACTTTATATTTTCTTTAAATTGTTTTATAATTCTTTTCCTTTACTGTACACACACAAATACATGTATATAATTTTTCTAATTTATTTCTCACTTAAAAAAAAATGAAGTAGGGGCGCCTGAGTGGCTTAGTCGGTTAAGCGTCTGACTTCAGCTCAGGTCATGATCTCATGGTTCATGGGTTCGAGCCCTGCATCGGGCTCTGTGCTTACAGCTAGCTCAGAGCCTGAAGCCTGTTTCAGATTCTGTGTCTCCCTCTCTCACTGACCCTCTCCTGCTCACGCTGCCTCTCTCTCTCTCTCTCTCAGAAATAAATAAAACATTACAAAAAATTTTTAACAAAGAAGTAAAAGCAGTCAATTTCCCTAGGAAATTATTCAAAAACTTATAACAATTGGTTTTTTTTACACCATTTCTCTTTAGGGAACCTGTTGTGAAAAATATATTATTGTATTAATTGCTTTGTCATTTTGAGCTTTTACCTTTGTTTTAAAACCTAATAAAAACACTCAACATTTTTTGTTCAATTTATTTTATTTTAAATAAGAAAATATCATTAAGTATAGATTTTCAGATGATTTAACTGTAGAAAAATAATATAGTTATATGAATAAATTGATTTTATCATTCTTGATAGGGTTATAAATATTAATTGCCTTATGATATCATATAACATATATATGCTTATATATTTGATGAATCACAACCCAAATGGCTTTCATATGCAGACCCCAGGTTACTATATTAATTGCTGTTACTTTTTTAGACCAAAATATTTAATGCTCTTATTTATGTTTTAGGTTAGTGGGATGGTTTGGCCATGAACTCAGCACCAGATTTAAGATGGATAACAGTAAGTACATTCAGTTTCACTTCACAAGTCATTTTAATTTACCTTTATTTCAGTTTTCATCTGTCTTTGCATGGTATGTACTATACATGCTTCATGAAGAGTGCACTTTGAAAATGCCACTGAGAATTCTTAAAATAAGAAATGACATTTCCAGAGTGTAAGACTAAGTGCTTGTAGATTTTAGCATGATTTTGAGTCTATCCGTTTGTAGGGAGGTAAGTAGGAATGAATTGGAATGTACAGGACTCTGATCTCATCAATCCCGAGTACCCAAAACATCAGGCAGTCAGGACAGGAAGGAATTTTGGGCTTGTAGTCAGGCCCAGAGAAACATGGGTGACAGTTCTCCTTTGCTGCCCAATAGTTTTGTGATGCTGCACAAATTATAACTTCTTGGGATTTTTTTGTTTTCTGTTTTATTTTCCTTCTTGCATATGTAATGTGAATAATAATATCCATTTTAAGATTTGGTTTGAGGGTAAGACAAGTTCAAAGCTATAAGTCAAGCAGCACAAAGCACTGCTATTTAATAAATGTTCACTTTTATCTCTCTCTTTTTCCAATTTTTCTTCCTTCCCTGGCTTTTGCCACATACAAAAACAATGGCAGTTGAACCCCAGTAGGTAGAAATGAAAGTTCAACACGTGCAAGTTTCTCCCAAACTGCCCTACTTATTTTTACTGAGTGACTCCCTTCTTCAATCATGTGGGATATAGAAAGCTTCATAATGTTGTGTGAGTTTTCAGTTCAACTTTATCCTTCAGACTACTACTAACCTAAGTTACTAGTTTAAATATATTCATATTTGCAAAAACCAAAATGTAAAAGATCAAGGTGGGCTCTTCCGGTCAAATCAAGAAACGTGTCTTTTATGTTGGCTGCTGGAATAATTAGCTCTGTTATTATGTCAGTTACTTACACTCACTGTGATGGCTTTTCTTACCAGTAAATGAGAGAATTGGACTAGATCGAGAGTGGGCAAAGTATCTCTCTGAAGGGCCAGAGATGAGATATTTTAAGCTTTTGGGGCTACACTGTCTCTTACAAATATTCAGTTCTGCCATTGTAGTGCTAACGCAGTCATAGACATACATAAATGAATGAATGTGGCTATATGTTCCAGTGGAACTTTATTTACAAAAACAAGTCAGGGGCCAGATTTGGTCCTCAGTGCATAGCTTGTTGAGCCCTGGATTAGATGCAACTCTAAAACCTAGACTATTCTAATGCTCCTTTAGTCAGTTTTAGCTTTAATTTGATCTCCAACTAGCAGTCTTAATGCTATTGGACTTACCTTGCTACTATTCTGATTCTTTTTTTTTTTTTAAATATTTTTATTTATTTCTAGGATAGAGAGAGACAGCGTGAGCAGGGGAGGGTCAGAGAGAGAGGGAGTCACAGACTGAAACAGGCTCCAGGCTCTGAGCTGGCAGTCAGCACAGAGCCCGACGCGGGGCTCGAACCCACAAACCGCGAGATCATGACCTAAGCGAAAGTCGGACACTTAACCGACTAAGCCACCCAGGCGCCCCTCTATCTAACTGATTCTAATTGGAATGTACCTGCTAATAAATTACCTTTTAAATGTATCATACTTAGGCAGATCATTTTTTAAAAAGCCCTTTATCCCCCCAGGAGAAGCCACTTGACCTAATAACCCTACTGCTAGAAGTCACCTTCATAGATCATTTAATTCACATTCCTGCTTTGGATGACATTACAATTACAAACCATTAAAATGTTGATGTTTTTCTCTCATTGATATGGTTTCATAGTAGAAAAGCAAAGTATGGGGCAGATTAAGGAATGCTGGCTTGGGAGTGTGGAAGGACAGAGAATGAGGTCCAGAGAATCTTCCTCAAGAGGTCATTTTTATATGTCTAAGGGCTCTAGTGTTTCGTAGGCTGCTAAGAAAGTGGGGCCGGGGAGACAGACCTTGCAGGTGAAGGGGAAATATGCCCATACTTTACATCCATAGAGTTTCTTTTAAATAGCTCAGAAATCAGGGAGCCTGGGTGGCTCAGTTGGTTGAGCGACCGACTTTGGCTCAGGTCATGATCTCACAGTTCGTGGGTTCGAGCCCCATGTCTGGCTCTGTGCTAACAGCTCAGATCCTGGAGCCTGCTTCCAATTCTGTGTGTCCCTCTCTGTCTGCCCCTCTCCTGCTCATGATCTGTCTCTCTCTGTCTCTTAAAAATAAATAAATGTTGGGGCGCCTGGGTGGCTTAGTCGGTTAAGCGTCCGACTTTCGCTTGGGTCACGATCTCGCGGTTCGTGGGTTCGAGCCCCGCGTCGGGCTCTGTGCTGACTGCCAGCTCAGAACCTGGAGCCTGTTTCAGTCTGTGACTCCCTCTCTCTCTGACCCTCCCCTGCTCACGCTGTCTCTCTGTCTCTCCTAGAAATAAATAAAAAACATTAAAAAATAAATAAATAAATAAATAGATAAATGTTTAAAAATAAATAAATAAATGGCTCAGAAATCTTAGAAATAAAAGTTTTTAAGTCTCATTCTTCTCTCTACTATAGTGTCATAAAAAATTCATAAAGGACACTTTTCCAGGTACATTCTATAAAAATGATATGATGTTAATTTTTCAGAACTGCAGTTAATCCCTGGGGTTGGTGGATTTCGAATTTCAAATCCTCCCATTTTGTTGGTCTGTTACTTACATGCTAGTTTAGAGGTAAGTGATCTATGCTTCAACCTGCCCACATCTTTGCCTTTTTTTCACCTGACTGTGACATGTTGTAGGGCCTTCTCTGCTAAAGATCAAGATTAATGTTTACAATGTATAAACAATGGTCAAAAGCCAGTGTTCTCCTTTGGGACAGTGACTGTGCTAATTTGTATCTTTTATTTTATGTCTCCAGCCCCAGCACTGTGTTTGGCACATAATAAACGTTGTTGGCACTTAATAAATGTTAATTGGAACCGACCTGGGGATATATATTTTTAGTTCCACTTAGAATTTGTGTGAACTTAAATAAATTGTTTAATCTTCTTCTGGTCTCTCTGTGATAGAATAAGCGTGCAATATTTAGTTCTTGATATTTCACTCATTCAACATTTATTTACTAAGAAAGTATTATGTGCCAGACATTGTTGGGATTACTGGAGACTCTCTTCTCATTCAGCAAGTCAATGAACTCACAAAGTACCATGTGCTAGAACTATAGGAAGGCATACTTTAAGGGAAAAGAATACAAATAAGCAGAGTAAATCAAAGATTGAGAAAGGTTGTCTCATGAGGTAAATGCATCTTTCTTTCTTTCTTTCTTTCTTTCTTTCTTTCTTTCTTTCTTTCTTTCTTTCTTTCTTTTTGTTGCAGTGACTATGCCATTATATTCTTGTATAATCTCTCTACTGATTATACTGGCTCAACATATATTTTTTAGTAAATGCATATTTTTAGTTAAAATTAGTTTCATCCTAAATAATAATATCCAAAGAATCAATTTGGTTTTCAGATATTTATATCTACCTTTCCTTCTCTTTATGTAGATATATAGATACCTACTTTGTCCACTTATATCTGTACTCTATTCATATCCATATCTATATAAATTAATTATTGGGGTATTAATTTCAGAATTAGACTAAATTGAGACTAAATTGGGGGCACCTGGGTGGTTCAGTTGGTTAAATGTCTGACTTTGGCTTAGGTCATGATCTCATGGCTCATGAGTTCGAGCCTCGCGTCAGGCTTTGGCTGACCACTCAGAGCTTGGAGCCTGCTTTAGATTCTGTCTTCTTCTGTCTCTACTCCTCCCCTTCACATGCTCTGTCTTTGTCTCTCTCTCTCTCAAAAATAAATAAAACATTAAAAAAATTAAGTAAAAAAGAATGAAACCAAATTTATTTAAGGAAATACATCTTGTAAATAATTATATGCTATATAATTAGTAATATCAATATACATATTAAGTAAATATATTTTATATATTTGCATTAAAGTAAAATATATTTTAGATAAATGTGTTTTTATAACAGAGCTTTTAAATATATAGCTATTCAGAACTGAATTTGACTTTTTAAACTTAAAGTCTTTTAAAATCATCTGTTTTTTGATATTTTATGAAATTTTATTGTGGAGTATTCTAGGATGAATGACTAGATAAAGACTTCCAAAATCTCTAAACCTAAATTTTAGGATTCTGTGAACACGCATAGCAGTTTCTCACTTTGGCCACTGGATGGCAATGTGAAGTTCTTTTTTTTAATAGAACTTTACCTCTAGACGGTGGCAATCAACTCGTTTCACTTCATCTGGATTTAAAGAACATCTACTCAGTGTGACCACTAGATGGAGCTTGTGTTTTTTTCACTTTTTGGCAGATTTTTTTTTTTTTTTAACTGAAAATAGACCCAGTAACAAGATTTTTCAGCCAGTGGAAAAAAAGTTTTTTAAACTTTTTTTTGGGGGGGGGGGGTGAGAAGGGATAGAATCTGCTTAGCAAGTCAGATAATGATATTTGAATTATTTTTATAATATCTATTCAGAGAAAACTTCTGTTAAACCGTTTTAAAATGATACACAGTTTTTCTCACTTTGCAAGTATGTATCAGGGAGAAGGTGACTTACAATAGGAAAAGCACAGAGGTGTGCCTTAGGAAGAACTGGTACTTGAAGTTCTCTGATTTTCCTTATCTTTGCAAATGAGTTCTCGGCCAGATCTTGAAATTTTCTTTTAGATGCTCTAACTTTGGTATGTTTCTACAGTGGGCTGGTGTCAAGTATTTATCCCTTCTGCCATGGAAAAGAAGTCACATTCTCAATTTTCCTGCTCTGGTCCCCTAGGCTAGGCTTGAATAATAAAAAGCTCAGAAGTATTCATCACCTTATTACACTGTATTGTAGTAACCTAGACAAGGTTTTAATTTTCAGCTGGAATCTGAAGATTGATTGATTTTTTTTTAACATCTAAACGAATAGCAAAAGGACCCTAAAGTCCACAAGAGTGGGATATGTACTTCTTTTATCACATAAGTATTTTCCTGGAGCCTCTTAGAAATATCTTAAGTAAGTGGTGCTTGGTGGCTCAGTTGGGTAAGTGTCTGAGTCTCGATTTCAGCTCAGGTCATGATCTCAGGGTGTATGAGATGGAGCCCCATGCCAGAGCTCTGCACTGAAAGTATGGAGTCTGCATTGGATTTTTTTCTCTCCCTCTCTCTCTGCCCCACCCCTGCTCATACTCTCTCTGTCATTCAAAATAAATAAAAACAAAAAATGAAGAAAAAAAGGAAAGAAATACTGTACTTAAGTTATTTACTGCTAAGGCTACATTCTAACCAAAATTGTCATTAGGTAATCAAATGTTGTGTTGAAGAAAGTGTTTTTGAAATTCTTCCTCCCCATTATAAATTGCAAAATTCTGACATTACAAAACAATGCATGCCATTCTTCTTATTCTTTACCTAACTGCTAAAATGGTCTACCCCCCAGATGCCATGTGCATAAGCATCATTGCAGTAATCATGTTGCTACTGTGCTTAAGTTACTGCATTATAGGAGATAGGTGACTGAAATTTGAGTCAATGAGAGAAGTAGATGCATGAATTACAGTGCTTTTCTTTGTTGTAGTTACTTTTCTTTCAAAAAATATTCTACATAGTCAAATATCAACTGGAGGAGAGATTCTAAACTTAACAATCAGTATATATGGATATGATCTCAGTTTTGCAATGCAATGATTTTTTTAAAAAAATAATATGTTTTATTTACAATTGTATGTGCATCCAGTTGATTGATAACATGAAAAATAGCACCTTATTATTAATTTCCAAACTGTCCTTTATATTAGTGGCTCTTAGTCATTTGTATTATATATTTACATGGTACAAATACAATGGTACAAATATATATGATAAAATATGGTACAAATTTTACAAATAAAAACATGTGGATCAATAGAAACCAGGGTAGGAACCAGGAGGCATATACCCTATCCCTCACCTGGGCACCAAGTGTGACCTTAGATAGGTGACAACTTTCTCTTGATTCTATATGCTCTCGAATTCATTTGTCTCATTTTTAAAATGAAGATGTTTAGACCAGATTATTTCAGAAGTCTCCTCAATCTTTGAATTGCTAACTTGAAATTAAAAATACATCTATTGTATTTTGTAGGGTCATACTTGCATGCAGTAAGTAGACAGTTTTTAGACCATTTTAGTATATGAATTTATAGTGAAATAAATGGCTCCAAAATATAAAATTAGAGTGCTCAATTAAAATACACTTCAGGTGGGGCACCTGGAGGGCTCAGTCAGTTAAGCATCTAACTTTGGCTCAGGTCATGATCTCACATTTCATGAGTTCAAGCCCTGCATTGGGCTCTGTGCTGACAACTCAGAGCCTGGAGACTGCCTCAGATTCTGTGTCTCCCTCGCTCTCTTCCCCTCCCTCATTCATATGCTTTCTCTCTCTCTCTCTCTCTCTCTCTCTCTCAAGTGAATAAACATTTAAAAAATTTAATTTCACATCAAGTAAGAAGAAATGTACTATATCCTCAGAAAGTTATTAGGCAGCCAATTTTAAGAATTTAAGAGAAAAAATTTTTCAAGAATTGAAAATGTCATACTATACTTCTTTTTCCTGTTTAAACTTAGCTAACTTTTCTAGCTTTGTATTCTTTTTCCTTAGTAAGAAAAATAACCCAAGTAGTTGAACCTCTGCCAGGAATTGTTATAAGCTGAATATTTTTAACCTATGGTTTTCATTTTTATTTAAAAAATAATCCTTTCTCAATACCGAAAGCATAGAAATAATGAGAAGCCAAAAAGAAAAGATATTTATTCTGTTCTCTAGTTAGCTCCTATTATCCTCTCTTAATTTTTTATGTGAGGCCTCAGAAGAGACCTTTACACCCTCTGACAGGATTTTGAGTGCCTCACAATGAAGCTGACTTTACTGTGGTTTAATGATGGAAAATGGTTTCATGCTTAAAACTTATTTTATTATCAAAGAGTAACAGTATGTTAAAATTGAGACTGTCATAACAAAAAAACATCAGTTTCGAGTTATCGGAGAAATCTGCAAGAACATACTCTCCTTAAAAAAAAGCAATAAATTTAAATAATTTTCCCCCAAGTCTTACTAACCTATAAATACAAATGAAATATCATTAAAAGTAGTACTTTGCACATTGCTCTTACCTGTTATCTTATGGGGCTTATAACAGAACCAGAAAGTTTTTCAGAATTATTTATAAATGAAATTTACCTCAAATTACTTTTAATGTGCAAAGAGAAGATTGGGAAAACGTCTCTCCTATTCTTTTATTCCTGTGCTGACAACGACACCACATGTGGGTGGTGCCTTGCCTGTCCCTGCTCCTGCCCTTCATGAGAAGTGGTTCTTCATCCGGGCTCTCTTGATCCAAAACTTGGCTGTGTGCCCTTGAGTCCACCTTGGGCGAATCTACTTACATTTCTTTTACACAAGGCAACAAAGAGATGCCTCCTCTCAAACTCAGCATAACTAGGGTTAACTGAGTCCCAAAGCAGTATTGCTTGTATTGCTGACCTCAGACACTTTCTGAAAAGACATCAAGCTCTACTTGCAGTCGATTTCTTCCATAGTCTGTGCTATCTGGTGGGGGAGAGAGATGGAAACCATTCTATCCTGTTTCTCCTCTCTTCCTTGGATTCTGTTACCCTCAGTGCACCTCCCTTGGTCTCCTTCAGCCAAATCCATAGCCTTCATGCAATATAGGTCACGGAAATCTTTGCCCAAATGGTTTGAGAACAGGTTTGAATGCCTGCTCGCGCATACCACATGTATATACGGAAGTAACTATTTTTCCAAGCTTCATACAGTCTTCATAAATGTCCCTGAGTGACCCTATCTTTGCTCTGTGGCATAACGTGATACAGAAAAGGGATATTAAGTGGCATGCCAGTGCATCGCACTCTGTTTGCAGTTCATTCAGTTCTTATATGTAGGATATATTTTTAAACTCTACTTGACCTTAAGAGATAAGCTAGAAAAGCATGTCTGTTCTGACCTCTAATGTTCCAAAACCAGTTATTGTGTGCACTTGTCACTCATCTTAATATAAAAAACTTCAGGCAGCAAATGGCAGTATTTTCACCGCAGTGCTAGAGTTTAGCAGGGGGGAAAATAATGAAAGAAGAAGGAAAGATAAAAAAGAAAGAGAGAGGGAAGAAAAGAGAGATAGAAAGATAAAGAGAGACAGAGAAGTGAACCTAACTGCATCAGTACTAACATATATGTATTATCTGACATGGTTTGCCTCCCTGGCTGACAAAGCTCAACTTTATTATACAACTGTTTGCTTACTGTTAAGCTAGGGAGATTTAGGAATCGGGTAGACAATTATAAATAATATTGGTAACACTGCCTTTCATATATACATGAGTGTTTATCTCTTATTATGCTTTTGTGTGAACTAAAAAACTTTATCAGAATAGAAAAAAAGTCTTCTTGATTATGATTGCGTAAAATGATTTTGGGGAAAAGATTTGACTTTCATGATCTTTAAATGCATTTATTGAGGTATGTTTTACTTATACTAATTATACTGAGCTAATGTAAAATAACTGTAAAGGAACATTATACTACCATACTTTTTTCTTCTTCTTTAGCAAGTATTGTTCAAATGACATTTGTACAGTTTTCCTGTCATGGAAACTTTGCATTTAGCTTTTAATGGCCAAGCATTTAAAAGAGATATGTTTTTTACAAAGGATGTAAAACAGGATGTTTTTGGAAAGGTCAAAAGTAGGCATTTCCTTTTTTAACATGATTTTCAGTCAACTTTTGCTTCTTTGTAAATCAAGAAGACACTGTTAATCTGATTGTTTCTCATTCTGTAGGTCTTTAAGCAAGCGACTATGAAAGCATTGAGGAGAAAATCTATTTTGCTAACTGGTTATCTGGAATTCATGATCAACCATTACTATAACAAAGATAAAGCAGATACCAAGAGACCATTTGTGAACATAATTACTCCATCCCGCATAGAGGATCGTGGCTGCCAACTAACACTAACATTTTCTATTCCAATAAAAAATGTATTCCAAGAACTAGAAAAACGAGGAGTGGTTGTAAGTATATCTCTTGCTTTGCTACCAGGTTTTCTCTCTGGGTTGCATGTTGGGGTAAATTTTGGGTTCTTTTGTTAATTCACTGTTGCTTGTTATTTCACATGAGTCAGTTTGGGAGGATGCATTATGTGTCAACTAAGCATGCATCACTGTGTTAATTGAAGGACATAGAGGTCTGTCATTTCTGATAAAAGAGATAAAAGGGAAGAAACCACAGATTTTGGATGAGGAACCAGCTTTCCATAATTTATTCATTCTTTTTATTATGGTTTGAGCAGAAAAAAATGATTTTATCGTAGTCAATTAGGAAATGTTTTCACTGGGTTTTAGTAGTGAAAGCCCAAATATATATGTTCATTGAATAACTAGAATTAAAGAACATAATACAGTGGAGGAGGAGGAAAAGAGTCAGTCTTATTTAGTTGTTTGATTGAGCCAAGTCACTTTCAAACTTGTCATTTTAATCAAAAAAGAGCTGTAAATCCATCTCAAGGGTGTTAACATTGTATGAAATTATTTTTTTAACCCTTGGGTCTAAGTGATCATTCTATTCTCTTAAAGAAAATAAATGTTAATAGGGTGATTTCAGGAAAAATGATGGTCTTGTATCTATATCCAGTAAACATCTAATTTAGAAATTGCTCCACTCATGTGATCCTTATTTTTTTTGCTTTGTTTTTTTGTTTTTGTTTGATTGCTTTGTTTTAGAGAGAAAGAAAGAGCGTGAGTGGGGGCAGAGGGAAAGAGAGAAACTTAAGCAGACTCCATGCTCAACATGGAGCCTAGCCTGATGCAGGGTTTGATGCCATGATCCTGGGATCATGACCTGAGATGAAATCAAGTATCAGACCCTCAACTGACTGAGAAACCCAAGTGACTGGCTCACTAACTCTTGAGGAGAGGTTATCTCAGATCCTGGAGGCACAAATCCATATATTGGTGTTCCAATGCATTTGTAAGCTGTGTGCTCCTTGGGAAAGTTTGTTCGTGTCTATTGTCCTGAATTTTCTCATCTGGATTTTGGGTGCAAAAATGCTTACCTCCAAAAGTTGTTATGGAAATTAAATGGTCCAGAACAAATAAACAATTTACTGTATTGTCTAAGCCTAGTGAATGTTTCTTAAAGGTTGATCATAGTGATCTTCAGGCTAGACCAAATTATCTGGGTCAGTTTCATGACATTTCAGGGATATAGCCTATTCCTTACCTGTGAGATTAGGGATTAGAGGATTATGTACAAATAAGTGACTAAAATGCTCCAGGTGTCAGTGAGGTTCTCTTTCATTTCTTTTTTCATTTTCAATTGTTTATTTTATTTTAAAGAAAAAGTGAGAGAGAGCACAAATGGGGGAAGGGACACAGAAAGAGAGTGAGAGGAGAGAGGGAATTGAATATTAAGCAGGCTCCAAACTCAGCAGGGAATACAATGCAGGGCTCAGTCCCAAAACTCTAAGATCATGGCCTGAGCCAAAATGAAGAGTCAGATGCTCAACTGACTGAGCCACCCAGGCACTCCCTTTTATTTATTTATTTGTTTGATTGTTTATTTACTTATCTACTTTTATTTTTAAGGTTCTCATTCATTTTTTGAATTATTTTTTTTATTATTTCAAGTTTTCATTGTTTTGAGAGAGAGAGAACACAAGTGAGGTAGGGGCAGAGAGAAGGAGAGACAGAATCCCAAGATCCTGTGCAGAGCCCAGTGTGGGGCTTGAGTTCACAAACCATGTGATCATGACCCAGGCCAGGATCAAGAGTTGGACGCTTAAGCTTAACCGACTGTGTCCCCAAGATGCCCCTAAGGTTCTCATTCATTTAAATGTGCCTGAGGGCTCCAGTCTCTTACAGTCCCCCCACAGATAAATTGCATATATGACTTACTAGATGTTCAAGAAGATGTTTGCTGAGTGGATTTCAGGAAAGCACTTTGGATCCTTATGATATTCATTCATATTTTAACTATTATTAAGAAGAGAGCTCAAATGATGTGGAAATATTGCATCTTAATAAAATTAACAAAATGCTTATATATTAAGTTTTAGAGAAATCAGCATGATTGCTTTATGTGGGTTTATCTTGAATGTAGATTTTCATTATGTGAAAAGTGCTAACATTCCTGTGGCTTTATTTTCTCCACCACAGTGTGACAAGCGGGAACCAGATGGCATCCGAGTGGCTCCAGTTCCTCTCTACAACTCTTTTCATGATGTTTATAAGTTTATCAAAATACTTGCTTCTGCACTTGACTCTGCAGAAACCAAAAATACCAATGTTCTTTAGAACAACTTAAGTAATACTAAAAGCTACTATGGCTGTTTTATTATCGTTGTTCTAATTTTAATAATTGAAAGCTTTTCAAAACCTATTGCACATAACTGGCAATAAATTGTATGGTTTACAGAAAAATCTGATACATTATCTCTAAGGGTCTGGGGTCCTGAGGAATCCACATGTCTGTCCAATTTTTCCATGCATGGTGGATCAAAGTTTTCACTGGTCCAAGTATTATGTATACAGTCTTAGCTAGCTGTCACATTTCATGGTCAGTGAATGCTTTATGTTGATTTAATTTATAATTTGACTGACAACTTCATAATATATGTGCAATTTTTTGTGTCAATTTTAGAAATGTTGCTTTAGTTTTAATTTACCAAAGAGTTTCTTATAGTCACTGTAATTTCACAGTCTGATATATGTATGATTTTGCAATATTTCATCCAACTCTCATCTAAGGAACAGAAAATACATTTTCTAGAGTAGTAGCTTTCAAATATTTTGGCCACATTCCACACTAAGAAATATGTTTAATATAAGATACTAGTATGTATATGTTTATGCCTTATTTTATTGATTATAATATACAAATTTTTATCATAGTTCAACATCTATGAAAAAAGAATTTTTTCAATTTTCAATCAATGATTGTTATAATTTCTCTTGACCATTCTTTCATGTTACCATCCCTGACATTAGCATGTTTCTCACAATGAAGAGATAGCATCTTAGATATGTTTTTTTTAAAAAATGGTATATATACCAAAAATAAGAGTTTCATAAGTTATTAATGCTCTGCTATTTATTATTCACTTTATCTCATTACATCAAATGTTGGTTGAAACTCACTAAATTTACTTGCCCAGCTACTCTTGGATCCTAATCCATTTTTCAAGGTTATCCCTGTCTTAAATGTTATTATTATTATTTTTTTTTTAATGGGAACCTCTCCTGATAGAAGACTAGGTTTTAAAAAGTTTATTTATTTATTTTGAGAGAGAAATAGAGAGTGTGAGTGGGGGACGGGCAGAGAGAGAGGAAGTGAGAGAATCCTAAGCAGGCTCTACACTGTCAGTTCAGAGCCAGATGCGGGGCTCCATCTCACAAACTGTGAGATTATGACCTGAGCCAAAATCAAGAGTTGGGACACTTAACTGACTTAGTTACCCAAAACAGTGACTACTCTGTCTCTAAAACAGTGACATAAATCACCCCAAGATATTTGCAATTGAGAATTAGAATTAGCAAATGAGTGCTTGATCTCTCAACCTCTAACTCAAATCTCTGGACCTTTGTTTCCGCTAGGAAAATTGCAGTTACACTCAGCCCTGTTGGACTTCCCTAGTTTTCAGTTGTTGATGATGCAACCACTTTCATGAATTGGCAAAACAGTCTACATTTATATACATAGGCAGCAAGAGTGACTACAGTGTAATCATTGCCCCCAGTGAACAAATTTGAATGGAATTAACTCAGACAATCACTAGAGTTAAATAAAAAGATGCAGACTGACACCAAGTCCAGCAACTATTGATATGGACTGTGTACTCACCACGTACCATGCATTGTGCTAATATAGTTATACGTTGGCTTACTTATTTGAGTGGTTGCATAACTGCTTTAGCAAAGCTGCCACCTCCAACTTCTGGCAAAACTCATCTTTGTGGATGGAAAATTTCTCAAAACCCTAAAATTTGACTATATACAACTTCATGTAGGAGAAATCATTTTGAAGCTCACAAGATGTAAGCAAAACAGGCATGGTTTTAGCTCTCAGGGAGCATGTAGCTTAGTAGGAGAAATGGGGAGTAAACATATAAATACCCAAGTAAATATGCAATTACGAACTGTAAGTTTTATGAAAGAAAAACAAATGATACTATAAGAAAAACCTGAAGGATATTAATTAGATGCTCAAGTAAGGGGAGGTATATGATGGTGCTTATAACTTTAAATTCTAAAACATGCAAAAATTTTTTAAAAATAAAATATGCTAATCACATTAAAATTTCATCAAGCTATATATACAAACCATTTAAAGCATAATCAGCACTATGTCTTCCATTATGCAAGTTTAGAAACAAAGCATTAGAAATTCCCTTTCTCTCTGCTTGCATTCCCATTCCTCCCCAAATTTAGACATAACCAGCAACTCATACTTTGTACTAATCATTCCCTTACTTCCATTTAAGTAGTATACCTACATATGTACCATAAGAATATATCAGCTGATTTTGCCTTTGTGTGAACTTTATGTGAATTTAAGTGTATTGTATATATTCTACTTCCTTTGCTCAGTGTTAAGTTTTTGAGATTCATCCATTTGTTGCATATAGCTTTTCATCCATTTTCATAGCATGTAATTGGGGTTATTAATTTGTTCCATTACTAGTGAAAATTTGAGTTCTTCCCAATAGCTTTAATATTGCAATGGTGCTGCTATTAACATTCCTGGTACACAGATTCAAAAGTTTCCCCTGTGAAAATGTCAGGTCAAAGGACACACACATGATCAACTTCACTAAGTATCAAACTCTTTTCCAAAGTGGTTGAACTATTTTCCATTCCACTCAATAGGAAACAGGAGTTCTCTTCACTTGATCCTTGCCAATAGTAGCTGTTGATTGATTGCCTTTGTGACGTATGCAGGCTTACATAGCCAGGGTGATTACTAAAATAACAGAGTGAGTGTTATTCAGTAGAGCAGAATGAATGTTCTTTTTCCACACAAGTAGAAGTAGAAACTCAATGAGGAGATGCATATACACTGTTGTTTATGCTTCAGAAACTATCCTTAATCTATTTATTGAGACAAGACTAGAGCATTACATGACTTTTACCCTTGCTCAGCTCTTTCCCTTCCCATATTTTCCTTTATTCCTTCTTTCACAGTTTTTTTTTTCTTTCCCCCCTGAGGAACACTCCTTCAATAAAACATATTAACCCAAATACTGGTCTCTATTTCTAGGAAACCCAATCTAACATAGCATTTCCTTCATCTAGTGCAAATAACCATAAGCCTTTTATATTTCTATATCCAATGCCTGATAAATTTCAGTTATGTTTCTGTTGTCTTTCACAAATAATACTTGTTTCCTTGCGTATATTGTGCTTGTTAACTTTAAACTACTCATTTATATTGACTCTTTTGGAATTCTTTGAGAACTGGGTTAAATGTCTTTACAAAAATATTCATTTTTGGTTCTGCCAATTACTTGGGGTCATTACTGACACAAGAACACTTCAAATTTTTGTTTTCAGGTATTTCAAATCACATGGATAGTATGAAATTAGAAGTGTTAATCCTTTTGAGGGCAAATTTATAGTTACCAACTCTCTGAAGATATTAATTTTTCTTGCTGACCTTTTACATGTTATTTGGTTGCTAACATTATGCAGGGCTCTTCCATCAGTTTATTTATGTGGCCAATCCTAAGCTTGTTCAATGTCCCATTTAGTTATCAGCAATGAAGCTCAATCACTCTAGGATGTAGCAGACACTTTTAGTCTGCAACCCATACTTTTACTTTCCAGGTTCCTGCTTTTATTTCATTTCAAGGTTCTTAAAATTTCTTACTTTCATGCCATCTCATTATAAAAGGCATTTTTTTGCCATTGATTTTTATTTTTGTTTTCAATTATTTAATCCCCCATAAGATGCTAAATTGTCATGAAATGTTTTATGACTAAAAATGAAAAATATTATGCACTTCCTGTTTTCTCTGTAGAAAATGAACTGTACTTTCTTAATAACTGATGCACATTGATATAAATATAAGTTTTTTACTTTTGTTTTTAATTTTTTTAATGTTTGTTTATTTTTGAGAGAGAGAGAGACAGAGTGTGAGAGGAATAGGAACAGAGAGAGAGAGAGACACAGAATCAGAAGCAGGCTCCAGGCTCTGAGCTGTCAGCACAGAGCCCAACGCAGGGCTCAAGCCTACAAACTGCTAGATCATGACCTGAGCTGAAGTCCAACGACTAACCAACCTAGCCATCCAGGTGCCCAAATACAAATTTCTTCATAGTGATATCCTTGGGAGCTATTTTAATACATAGAGTTATTTGTGTAACACTAAAGTATACTTATTATAGAAAACTGACTGTGGAAAAGGCTGGGTGTGAAGTCAATAACTAAATTTCAAATTAAAGAAGTAAAGTTTTTCTACAGTTATTTTCTACTCAGTAACTTTCTAATTACTCTTGAGTTCAAAATTATGTGAGTTTACATTCAAATTGTGTTATGCTTTTGTTCCATAAATTGAAATTGCTAGATCATTGATTTTGAAGTAAATGGGTTTTTGCATCATCTTAGGAAAGAAACCTGCAAATACCCTGAAAGCATTATATTATAAAGCACAACATGGGAAATCACTGGAATAGGGCATCTCTAACTAAAATGATGGGTTTGATGCTTATGTGGATGATTAGCATCTGTATCTTGTGTTTTCAAAAGATCAAATTTGTTTCCTGCCCTTTAGTAACATTGTATTTTAATCTCAGCAAGACGTATTTTCAAAGAACAAAATAATACAGAGGATTATTATGAACAAATGGATTTAAACATTTATGATGTTTTTTGGTTTATTGCAATTATTTTTTATTAATGCTCTTTTTTCCAATTTTCGACTCATCAGTAGGACTCCAGAGTCCTTTTGATAATACCTTAATTGTTTTTGGTTATTTGTATTGTTTATGGTGTGCAAAGATGCAGACTCACCTTGTATATTTCCTATCTTAACCTTGACATCACTTATTTCTCTAAGAATATTCAGTTCCTTTGGAGGAAAATGGTATTTAGAAGCCATAATCTTACAGTAAGCATGCCCATTATAATCTAGTTAATCATAGTTTTCAGGATTGTATTATAAATTATTAAAATTATATCTTTATTTCATGTTCATATTTTAAATTCAATATAAGAAAAAGGATTTTTTATTTAACTTAATTTTATACTTTTTCTCTTAATGCAGAAAATCTTGGTTCTGGATTTTTTATTTAACTTAATTTTATGCTTTTTCTCTTAATGCAGAAAATCTTGGTTCTAACAATATTAATTACTTGTTTTATCATATATAATAAATACTAACTTATCATAAGTATATACATAATCTTAGAATTAATGGATATTATACCAAAGCTATTATGGACCATATTATTAAAGCAGTTTAAGTAATTTGAAGCTTTTTAAAAAAATATCTATTGATTACATCT